GACTATACTTGTAAAGCCGATACCAGTACCTTCACATGGTAAAATGTTGGGAGGATCAGAGAAAAAATAATGTGCCATACATCTACAAGATTCGATGTAATTGTTTTAATTACAAGAACATTAAATGATACTTGGAGATCTAAAACTATTAAAAAAATAATAAAATTTGGTTGAAAAATTAGAATTCAGCACAGGCTGGATAAACAGAATTCTTAGAAAAATATATGTGTACTAATGAAAAAGCTCAGCAAACTTTTTTTACAACACCTGCCTGTACCTATACGGCATGTAGTAAAGTCTCTTGAAGTAGTCATAGTCCCAGTTTCATATATTGAAAACACATGCACACGAAGATTTTCTGTAAACTTAAAGTTTAAGCCTGTGATGACTTTGAAATTTTGACGCCCCCCTCAAAAGGAGAACAAATAAATTTCATGTTTCTATATATTCAGTTTAGGTTGGTCAGGTAAAATTGAGTGAAACATTCAAGACGTAAAACGACTGGTTCAAGAAATTTTTACAACTAATTTTTAAGGTTAGCCTACCTTCATGTAAAAATTAGACCACTTTTGTACTGATGATGCCCAACAGAACTATCCGTAGTAAGAGGACAGGCTTCATTTAAAGAAATAATGATGTTATCATCTTTCCACAAGCTCAGTGGAAAGTGAGAGTGAACGAGACTGATAGTGACTACGTTATTTGAGTAAATATCCAGAGCCAGGATAAAAAGTCAGACATGGTCGGCAAAACTCTCTTATTTTAATTTTTTTAACCGATTGAGCTAAAGCTTTACATTCTTGCTTTGTGATTATGTGGATGCCAATTTAACTTTCATGCATCAAAATACAAAAAAATGTTCTCTTCATCTATGTGCCCTAACATTACAGGGGAGGAAGCAGGTCAAATTAAAAATATGAATTAAAATAAGAGAGCCCCCATTAATTTTAGTCCTAGTTAGAGGAGGATCCTTGTTTTTCCAGATTCCCAACCTCTTAAACTCACATATGTTATCTAAGTTTGTTTGTTACATCAGAGCATGTCTTCCCGAGAGTGACTGGAATTGCTGTTAAGAGCTATTCGCATTCTACATCTCAAAAATGAATAAGCTCTTCACTGGCGCATGATCTTTATTTCTATTAAGC